TTGGACAGAGCCTTGGGCGACATGGTCCAGTGTGAGGCGTACCTGCCCATAGCAGGGGGGTTGGAACTAGATGATCTTAAGGTCCTTTCCAACACTAACTATTCTATGATTCTATGAAAACATTATTTAATGAAATAAAATGCTTCTTTCTGGGGATGGACTTTTCCTTGCCAGATGTGCCCAACAAAAGACATCTGCAGGGAAGCATCCAGAGGTACTACAAGGACCAGAAATCTGCCTGTGTCATAGTTGTGTGCATGGAGAGTGTTTTCAAGACTTCAGCTTGTTATACCTTTGACAGGTAGCCTGAACAGTAAGTCAGGAAAGAACTGCATGATGTTTCATCTCCCATTGAGTACTACATAGTTATATGTTATAATCAACATACATTCTCTTAGCATTTGTACTTGTCTTGTTATCAGCTATTCAGAACTAGGAATTAGAGGGCAGATCCCGGATTTCCTAGTACTGCTCAGAGTGGGAACTTCTTGAACATGGATTGTGAACTTTTGTGATGCTGTGGGGATATACGCATGTCAGCACCTCAGCCAGGAAAGTGCTTTTGGAGTAAATCTGCTGACCATTCTCCCTTACTACTATTTGGCCCATTCTGCAAAGCAGCCTACAGATGTTCCAGCTGAAGTCCTTTTGGATGAAATTAAAGCAGCACTTGCAACATGCAATGTGTTGCAACTGCCAATGCATCTGTGCAGTCAGTCTGCACCTAGTCCAGGGTAAAAACTTCTGGAACACACTCAGCACTGACTCTGGACACATAACACCAGTCATAAGAATAGATATATTCTTATTCCACTTTACATTAATACAGACAGAACTCTCTTTTCCTGGACTGAAACACAGGGATCACTTCAGCTTGTTATTCTCCTCTAATGCTGTGTACTCACCTTACATCTGCCTGCTTCCTGTTGATGTGCTGCTCATCACTTCAGGGCAGCTTTATGCCATGGAACAATAATTGGAGAGATGCTTGAAAGCCAGTAAAATACAGCTGATATAGGTGCAAGGCTTAATGGGTAACTGATGCAGAGATGACAGAGCAGGTGTATGTTTTGAGGGCTACTTTGGTTACCCAGTGCTGAAGTGTACCTGGAACATGAAAAATAGCATGATGTACCTTGTCCATTATGTCAGCTTTCAGGACTAAAGGTGCTGCAAAACCTCATATGGAGAAAAATGCCTTGCCTGAGCTGAGAGAGAAACTTGCCTACATCCTGTGGTGCCAGAGCAGTCTGCTGAGCAAAAGAGCACAGGGATTGGTGGTGAGCTACAGATTCGGGGTAGTTGGCTCAGGAATGGCCAAGCAATTGTGCTGTTGCTGGGAAAGTATGCAGGGTGATTTTTATAGCAATTTAGAGAAAACTCATGGGTCTGAAGGAATATCTGGTTTTCAGTGATCAGAGCTCCCTGAATGTGCCTCAGCCATTGAGGGACACATGCACTCAGGTCTTCTGACTGAAGGGGTACTTAACAGTCACATAGACTTACTCTCTGGGTCTCTATAGCTTGGCACATATAGACTATACAAAGGCATTCATGAGAAGCAATACGTGTGTGTCAGAAGCCAAGGTATTGAGGAGGTTTGGTGCCGACAGCCTACAACAAGCTAGACGCCTATTTCTGTTTAATCATGTTGGTGGTGGTGGTAAAGCTGAATGTTCACTTTATACAGAAAAGACAACACTGTTCTCTCCTGTCTTGGCTTATGAGGCCTTATTGCAGTCACACCAGTTTTAGTGAAAGACTATACAAAATCAAGCCTATGGGTCTCAAGACTATACCAAGGTATGTACCTTACAGATGAAAGGCAAGCTCTTGCTGCTGACTAAACCATCTGGATGAAAAGCGACCTGTTACATCTCACCTTATTACCTGCAGGGCTGGGTGACAGTGTTACACTGAGGGTTCCCTTTACCTTATCCACATCTGAATGAAAAAGATGCAAAGGAATTTACAGATGTTTGATGTTTCAAATGCTGATCAAATATGTGCAATCACTTATTTGCATTGCACATATCTTCCTTTTTTCACTATCTTCCTTTTTTCACTATGCTGTGCTGTGTGTGCTGCTCTATTACTTTTATGACTACTCTGAACTTTTTATAGTTTAAAGTGGGTTATGTTTTCCTGGTGGTTCATTTTAGATGTTGCACCTGATTAGTTTTATAGACTGTACTGGTTAGCTTCTTTTCTTAATTTCCATGTGTGGGCTGCCTGTTACCAGTGTAAGTGATAATATATTGAGTATTCCCATTTTACACCAACAGATCTTCTCATGCTTTCCCCTATGGACAGCAAGAATTCAGTATGGGGAAGACAAAAAGATGAGGTACCGAATATGAGGAAAGGCATACTTTAAAACACTTTCCTATTTCCTAAGAAATAGGAAGATTCTGAAGAAGTCTCTTCACACTGATCTCAATTAGAAAGTTGTTTGCTTGTTTGTTTAAATCTTGAACCAGATTATATTGTTCAGGAACAGTTACAATTTTGGTATTTGAAACTAGATAAAAATGAAATGCATGTCAGATGGTTCTTGTAATCTACTGTTAATATCAGTCAAGCATCTTGGAGATGTATTTGATGTACAGGTACAGGCTAGGTTTTGCAAAAGCACAGTAGAACTACTCAAGTGTCAGTAACATTTCTGGGGTAAATAGGAACCCCAACAACTGATGAGACAAAATGTTCAGGTGGTCACTATCAGGAGCAATGCTCCAATCTGTGCCACTTCTTAACGTGGCTGACAGACAACCATATTTCTCTGACATTACTCAGTCTTCAGGGAAGGGTCAGCAAACAGCAAGAGCACAGAGATCTTGAAAATGTCTTTCCTGAGAATAATATGGTTTACTTTTAAAACTGTATGCAGTCTTTACACAAATAACTTGGTTGTGGACATGATAGCTTAAGGATACAAGAGAGGTGGTGTGTGCATACAGATTAGAATCTTAAATGAAGACAACCTTTGCTCCTTGGACCTTAAAGAGTAACATATTTCTCCATGGCAAGTGACTGAGCAAGGAGAAGCATCATTACAATTTACAAGCCCGGCTGAAACATCAGGCAGCTGGTGGGTAAGCTTAATTACCTTTTGTTTCAGAAAGTTGAAGTGAGGGACACTGTCCTTGCAGCACACTTTTATACGTGGTGTGGAAATGGTACTCAGCACCTTTGGGGCTTGCTTTTTCAAAGGCCGGCATCTGTGTCTGAGAGAAGTCAATCATACACCCCCAGATGAAGCAGAATTAGCCACTGCTGCACCCCAACAGAATCCATGTCATTCCTGTGACAGCTAGACTGGGTGTTGAAATTAGCACTGACTGTCTCAGAACATTAATGGTTTATAAGAAGATATTATTTAATCATCAACCCAGTTCTATGGCACTATAATGAACCAGGGTTTGCATAATTGCTAGGATCTGCAAGCAGAAGTTTTATTTGGAGTTTCTTTGGAAAGATTTAGCAAAAGAAACTTTTTATTTCTTCAAACTTTAGATTGTAGCAGTGGGAAGGGACCTTGTACAAGGGCTCTCAGAAGGCACCTGCAAACCGGATACCATGCCACACGTTAATCCTCATGTACCTCCTGAAACTCATCATCCCTTCTTGTGTAAGTGGAAATGGAATTCCTTAGCCACATCTCCCTATCTCTCTATATTCAGTGGAGGGGGAAATATACAACCAAATTTTTGTTACAGTGATTTAGCATCTGCTGCAGGGAATAACAGGGAAGACCACTAAGATGAGAAATGTTAAGTGACTGCAGATATTTTCCCAGTCTTCCACATTTTGTCAGTTTAGTTAGAGGGCTGAAAGAGGAGAGAAGAGGGGAAGAAAAACTTTCTCATGCAGTGTTTGGACATGTAAATTCTAGTGAAATTCTCACTGACTCTCTCCCCCCTCCTGCAGACAAAATTAACCTGCTCTTTTGGGTGGGTTTTTTTTACTTCCTTTGTCCTCCTTGAAGAGAAATATTAATAAATCTCATCACAAGCAGAGTACAAGTGTGTGAAGCACTGTCAAAAGTAACCTACCTACTGCATATTTTATTTATGGTTTGTAGGGAAGAAGTTGGAATATTCCCCATGATTCAGCAAGTCCTCTTCATACCCTTAAAGGCTAATGTGTTCTGAAAATACCTTCCAATTCTGTTTTCTGGGACCAAAAGGAAATAATTTATCTGTCTGTGCCAGAAGGAGATTGCCTATAAGTGTATGACAAATAAAAAACCAAACAGTACTTCCGATGCAAACAAAAGCTGCAAATTTTACAAACTACAGCTACCAAGTACTCTGTAATGCTATTTCTCACAGTTAAGTGACTCCAAATCCACATCTGTGCATTTTATTTGCTACTAAGGGCTTGCTTTTTCTTCCTTAAAGCCAAACTGAGGTCTCCCTTGCCTTATATCACAAATTTTGACTACCTTATCTCAGTCCCCTGTAAAATTAAATTAGCTCAGTAACTTGGTTTATTTTTTATCTTCTGGAGCTGTGCCTTTTTCGATGTTGCTAGGTTTGCACAGTTTTGTTAAGCAGGCCCTGTGGATATGAAGAGGCTGAGGAATCATGATGCAAGACACTCAATAACACACCTTTGTTGGGCTTTATGAATCACCAGTAATAAAGACGGTCATGTGGTTTGAGTTCACAAAACACCACCTTTAAAAGGGGGAAAAGGGACCTGCTGCAGTTCTGTGAGCTGCAAACCTAGGAGACAAAGCACATTAGAGAGAAGGGATTAAGAATAAACCCAAATCGACTGACCAGCAAAAAAAAAAAAAAGCAGGGCAAGAGATGGAAGACATGAGTGTAGGACATTTGAAAAAGATCCACCAGTCCCCATTTTGTGTCTTGTGTAGTGAGACAATCTGAAGCCCAGTGGGCCATCGGAAGGAGGCTGGAGAGAAAGCACTCTCTGGGCTGGAGTCACCCAGGAAGAGCAGATGTGAAAGGAACACAGGAGGACACGGGTTGGCTTTATGAGGTGGTTCTACAATCTACCAGTTTGCGAAAGCTTCTCTGGAAACTGTCATCCAGAAAGGCATACAGGAAAGGGTTGAAGCAGCTGTTGGCATAACTCAAGCTAGTGATGAAGTAGGAAATCCCAATGATGAACAGGGTTAGTGGGATGTCTGTGATGAGGGCTACCACTGTGCTAAGGTGATAGGGCACCCCAGCAGAACAGGCACACAGACAGGATGACAACCACCATCAGTGTCACCTTTTTTTTGGCTTTGTCCAGGGCTTCTGCATTGTAATGGAGATGCACACATCTCAATCTGCACAGCATGGTGGTGTAAAGAATGCACATGGTGGACACTGGGATGGTAAAGCCTAAAATAAGGGTGTAGATCCAACTGCCTCTCCGCCACACATTCGGAGGCTGGGGGAACATGAAGGCACGCTGGGAGCACCCCTGCTCCTTGTATATCTTAGCAAAGACTGTGAAGGGCAGGATGATGACTGTGACAAAGGACCAGACACAGAGGCTCACAATCTTGGCTGCTTGGTAGGCGTGGTAGGACATCTTCATGGACTTGGTGTTGGCAACCACAACCAGATAGCAGTCAATGCTATGACAGTAAGGATGTAGATGCTGGAAAAGGTGTTTTACTGGTCTATGGAGCTGATGACCTTGCACATGAATTCTCCATAGGGCCATTGCAAGAGCAGGTAGTCAGCAAGGTTCATGGGTAGCACCAAGGGAAAGATCTCATGAGCTCATCAGCTCATCAGGCTGAGGATGAAGATGAAGATGTTGGTGACCGTTTTCATCTTTGTGGCTATGAGGATTAGCTAGATGATGGCGGTGTTGCCTGTTAGCCCCACAGGACAGATGACTGAGTAGATGACTGGCATTGTGAGGTAGAATCTGGGTCTCGGTGTGGGAGTGGACATATTCAGACCCCCATCCTCTGTCCCGGTGCAGTCTGCACATGAGGAATTGGTCCTGGGGAGGGAGGGAGTTTTCCATGACTGCAGGATAAGGTGGCCAGGCCACTGTTGTTGGGAATGCCTTGGAAATGGAGTAAAAAATGCTAGATCTGTGCTCTTCTCAAGCCGGTCTTCTCTGGTGCATCCAGCCACCAAGGGTGCTCATCCACTGCATGCCACTGCCCTGCCAGGAACAAGAGTAGGTTACCAAGCACTCCGTCACCAGCAGAAGGTCCCATTTTGGAGATGGTCCCCCACCAGCTCCTCCCACACCGATGGACGCTATGTGGTGTCAGCACCAAGCCTTGGACTCCCTCAGAATGACCACAGAGCTCACCTGAGAACCCAGAGGTGCGCCCCGACCGCTGCCCCTCCGCGGCGCACAGAGGTGCCCAGAAGCGGCGCGGAG